GCATAATAGAAAAAAGCTTAAACGGATCGACCTAATTTAATTCAAAATTTTGATCTTTCATATATTTAAATTTGGAACTTTGTAAGTAGTTTTCATAGTAATTTCATTTATAGTTTATTCAAAAAACAAGTTTAAACTGTAGTTCATGTTAACATTTTGTTCCGTGGAGGGTTAAAGACTGTGCCCTCTCGATATCGTTTGGTTAGTTTTGTAGTTGGGTAAAAACAAGTTTAAACTGTAGTTCATGTTAACATTTTGTTCCGTGGAGGGTTAAAGACTGTGCCCTCTCGATATCGTTTGGTTAGTTTTGTAGTTGGGTAACTGTATCATGGGCGTACAACCCCCACATCTCATTTTATTCACCATAGAGATAATCTGGTTCAAAATGAAAACAACAGATGTATAGTTTGCTAGAAAAAAATGTAAAACAATTTTTTTTTTTCACTAGCTGCTATGTTTTGCAACTTTAGGTAGACGTCTTTAACCATTTGACTTGTGACACCGCCTACGAAATTCACGGCAGAGATCACCATGAACATACGGAGAAAAGATTCTAGGTGAAACAGAAGCAACGATTTCTGTTTTTGTTATTTATTTGATGGAATGCCAGTTAAAAAGAGCAGTGGCTATATTAATTCCATCTTAGGAAACACACGAAAAGTAAAAATGTATAATGTACGGTTTGCCGATTACGTCCACCAAATTTAGTTAAAAGTTCTTAGTCAATTGGTAAATTGTGTACCTTCGTTTTTTTCACAAGCGCCTTCAAACAAACTATCAATATTAAGGTGAAACACATATGTATTAATTTGGATCTAAACCATGACGAATTTCTAAACACTTAACAGAACCATGTCTAACGCTTAACCAAACTATACCAATTTCGATATTTTGGTTAGCCTGCGTTAATTTCTTAAAAACAATTTCAATGTAGATCGTTTGAACTACAATATAGATTCAAACATCTTATTTGCTCATTTGAAAAGAACTGAGGCAATCGTTCTGGGAAGTACCCAACTTAACCAAACTATGACGATTCTACCTGTAATTATAGTTTTCAGTCCGATCGTTCGTTCGTCCATTCCTCCTTCTACATTGCAATAGATTAACATTACTTTACATTTATATTATTATATACATTACATTTACATTGAATACAATTACATTATATTTACATTTCATTAAATCACATTACAATAAATATACATCACATTTACATTACTTCTCAATACATTTACAACTTATACAATGACAATGCATTTGCATATTATTTCATTGCATTCCAGTACAATATATTACATTACATTGCATAACATATATATTGTATTTACATTTACTATTACATTTAAAATTACATTAACATTTACAATTACATTACATTCGTATGACATTTTCATTACATTATATTTCATAACATAACATGACATAATATAACATTTTGTTACACTTCATAACATCACTTTATATTAGTGCAGTACATTACTAAACATTATATTCCACCTCATTACATTTTCATTAAATTTAAATTTACTTTACAGTTTACATCTAAATTTCATTACATTACAGTGCATTACATTACATTACCTTACATTGCAGTAACATTTACATTTACATTATTTTACATTACATTACGTCACTTATGAACAACATGCATGCATGTATACATACTTACATAAATACTTCCGTACGGAACTACAACAATTCATGTATACATGCAAAAGTATATAGAAATGTGTATACTGCATAAATATTACCATAGGTGCATACAGGTAAATAAAGATAGTATAATAACAATAAACAGATAACATACATATATACATTCATAAATACGTACTTTTGAAATTAACTTTAAATATTTCTTTGACGAAACTTAGATTTTTTTACAAAATAAAGATTGCTCGTACAGATTTGGCAATTTGGTAATGGTTCACAACAGAATAATCCCGAAAAATTGGAATTTAATTGAAAAAAAATAAATTTCGTAAAAATTAAGTATTTTCTAAACAAACAATAAAGTGCACTTAGATTTATTATCATTTTTCTTAAATACGCAGTTAAGCTTTTTTTATTGTTTTTTAATATTCATTTTTTTATTTTATTTTAATATTCAAAGAAAAAAAAGTTTTTTAACAAAACTTATAGTATGCAATAATTTATGATTTTTAAAGGAATGCTCGATTTGCAAAAAATAGATATATCATTTTACAAATAAAACGTTCTCATTAAAAATTTTCAGTTTCAAATTTTGTAAAAAAAAAATACAAAAACATACCTTTTATAGAGTACACATAACTATCTATGACTTTCTTTTTAAAAACTCCCAAAATGTTTAAAACATTTGATCTTTTAACAAAAGTTTTGTTTCGTTTTAATTTTGAAATGTTAACCATTATTTGATATTGAAACAAAACAATGCCCAAGAAATGAATCATTTCTTTAAATTCGACGGAAAAATAGTTTTTCGACTTCTAAATTTTTATTTCCAGATTTATGTATTTTGTTGAAGGTACAGATTTTTTCTCAAGAATATTTGCTTTTTAATGTATTTTGCAAAAACAATCGCAAATAGCCAGTAAGCAATATGAATTAATTTATTTTCAAAAGATGACTGTTTGCTGGCGTACATATAATAGTTTTTAGTGAAAGTAAGTGAACATGGTGAAACTTAAACTTTTGTTAAAATTAACTTAAAATATTTCTGAGACAAATTTTGACTTTTTGACAAAATAAACATTGCTCATACAGATTTAGTACTTGGGTATTGGTTCACAACAAAATAATCCTCAAAATTTTGAATTTTAATGAAGAAAAAAAAAATCGTAAAAATGTTGTGTTTTCTAAAACGAAAACAATAAAATGCACTCAAGATTCATATCAATTTCCTGAATTACGCAATTTATTTATTTTATTTTTTGCATTTATACATGCAAAAGTGTATGAAAATGTGCATAGTGCATATATATTACCATGACTGAATACATACGTGCATACAGGTAAATAAAGATAGTATAATACAGTCCTTGGATGGTGTAAACTTCCCACTTACACCATACACCATTCATCATTACACCATACACCTTGTGCCATTACACCATACACGTTACACCTTTGCATCATACACCATTCCCCATTCTATCTACACGATCCGAAATTACCCATAATCCAATTAAATTTCAAAGAAAGCGTGCGACTACAAAATTATTCATTTGTTTTAAATAACGAATTTTGATCACAATATTGTAATTTAAAATTAAAACCTCCATCGTCATGCCTATGATGGTTATATAAACAATACAGATTTAATATATATATACATGTATTTGTAAATAAAGTACGCATAAAACTTTGCTTGTAATGAAAATTTATCCGCGATCTGTCTATCTATAAATTAAACACGATATTGGTTACAATGCTATTATTATCGGTTTTAAAATGTAGCGTAAAAATCTTATAAACTTGATTTTCAGATAAAATCGACAAACAATGCCAAAAACGAATAGTACTTAGATCATATAAAATAATCATGATAATTGAAAGCAATATTGGTGTACAGTTAATCATGCTAGAGATTATATGTCTCTGATCATGCTTATGGCCAGCGTAATATTAAAAATATTTCTTTTTCAGCACCAATCAACAGTGCAAGTATGCATGTCCTTTTTTTATTCAAATAATTGAATCATCACAAAAAATCAGTCCACATCTCAGACTGGCTCCAATTTAACTTTATTTTACTGTCTCAGGAACATATATATATATTATCTGTAGTTTTGATACTTCAGGCTGACTGGTACATGTACAACAAAATTATTTTAACGCATCAACCAAAAAACTGACCATATTTGCACTTAATTATAAAATTGAGAATGGAAATGGGGAATGTGTCAATCTGTTAATTTATATAGGGTTAAAAAAAATGTAAAATAATTTTGTCTTCTTTTTATTAAAAATATTGTCTCGCAAGAAAATTTCAGTAATTTTGATACCTCAGGCTGACTTGTATAACAAAATTATTTTAAAGCATCAACAAAAACTGACCATTTTTGCACTTTATTATGATTGATTGATTGATTGTTGGTTGCTTAACGTCCAGTGGCAAATTATTCATGCATATACAGGACGAGAACAAATTAACAATAAATACAATAGGTAGGTTCTGTAATAGAGGCGTCCGGGATTAAGGTCGGAGAAATTTAGACTGCCACGGGAAATGAGGGTATATTGGATAGGGACAGAAATTTAGCCTTGCAACAGGTCACCTACGGACCCCTCAAAGAGTTGTTGCAAGGGTTCTTAACGTGCAAATATCGTGGCACTCTCTTTACACGAGGCATCGGATTAAGCGTCCCCATTCTGACCGGACGTGGCTTCAAATCTGTACATCCCGCACAGCCAAACGGACGCCCCACTTTAGCACGGGTTTTACTGCCGGTCGGAGGAAGACCAA